GTAGGTTGTCTCCAGAGCGTTATCCTAAACTGGGAGAGTACTACAATCTGCTGAAGGAGAGACCCAGTGTCAAAGCCAGCTGGCCTCCTCATTGGTTGGAGAACCCCAAGGGCCAAGATGCACTGAAAGACATCTGATATTCATACACAGATGTAAACATGATGCTGCATAATGACAGAGCAGCTCCTTGTTGCCCTTATGCATTCTGTGTATATCTAACAACAGTTTCTGGTTACTCATACATGTTCAGCTTTGTCTAATAGCAGAATAACTCAGTCACACTATCGTAAAGTAAAGAACTAGTTTTCCCTGCTCAAAGCTAGCTCAAATGCTTTGTGTTTCCATGACTTTGCATAGTTCAATAATGCATCCTTTCCACAACTTTGCATCTTTTTTTTGTCTTTTCAATAAAATAAATGTGCATTAGCTTTGTAGAAATGTTTTTCTTTTGTATGTTTGAGCACTGATTCAAGACTTGCACATTTGTAACAAAAAATCCATACACATACAAAGTCACCTCATGTTTTATTCTTTGTTGGATCCATTTCCTGAGCTTTTCAGACATTTTCCTGAACTTGCTGTGTGTTAAACTACGAGTGGCCAAATCCAGTCTGGCACATTCTTAAAAAGAAGGAATGCACAAAAGCCTTAAAACCACAGAAGACAAAGTGACAATGATGATGATTTCAATTCAGAATTCTTTGAGCATTTTGTCTACATTTCATCCGTTGCAGGAGCTGTGACCCCCTTCTCTCCTCTGTACATGTTGTGCGTTGTATAGCTGAAAGCGAGCCACAGACCTACAAACTCAATATGTTATAGGCAATATAAAATATGCAAAAAACAATGTGGGAACATTTCTTCTGTCTTAAATTCTTTTATTCACTGGCCTTATACATTAAATATTGAGATAACTTTCCATTCTAGTAATATTTAAATATTTTATATTGTGATAGAGGTGACCACATTTGAATATGGAGGGGGGGCAGGGAGTGTCTCCTGTCAAATATGATTGTTTAATCACCGACAACAAAATATAGAAGGTACGCAAGCAGAGACAAAGTGTGATAACAGTCTGAGATCTTTGCTGCAAAAGAACATTTCCAAATAAGAAACCAAATTTACATCATCATTACTCAATTTTCGGGGTTTTCTCTTAAAATAACTTGAGGCAATGGTTTCTTTGATTTGGAACCTTCAAACCATAAAATTATTTCTTTTACTGATGATGATTACTATTTTAAAACATGTAATCAATACATAAAATTAAGAATTTTTTCCATCTCATGTCTCAGCATGAACCTATTTGAGCTTGTTAGCTGAGAGAGTTAAAAAAGCAATCCTGGGAAGAAGGTTTTACTGACAACTTTAAGAGGGAGCTAGAGTATCTTACAAAGTAGCTTTGTGAGTGCTTACATTGTAATGAATTGTTATTAAAACTACGTAATGATTTTTACAGTATGCTTAAAAAATGTTTAATACACCAAAGTCCACTAAGCCCACATCACCGCTTCTATGTTGACGTGAAGAAATATAATGCAAATTGGCCCCTAAAGTTACTTTTTTTGTTAGGGAGGATTTGTTTGTTGTTGAGTGCAATATTAAAATAAGTTCTTTAAAAATCAAAAAATGATTTAATATGAAGATAATACGAGCAGAGAGCACAAACATGTTGAGGGATTGGCTGTGTTAGTTCAGTGAGAGAGTTAGTGGGAAAGAAAAGAGTTTTCACTAACAGTCAAAAACTAATGTGTGTACTTATGTCTGCATTTTTATTCTGTTAAATACAAACAAAATTATAGCAGAAGTGCTGCCACGCGTGTGGCCAGATAGAGAGTACCAGTTTGTTTATTTGGTTCAATGAAAGGCTTCAGGTAGTTAAGAGTGAGAAACTTCTGCAGTTTTGTCTTGTTATACAATATTTAAAAAAATATTTTTGAAAATTTGAAAAGCAAACACTACACTATACTACATTTTCGTAAACATTTGGCATTGTTTTCTTGTTTGTTTGTTTGGGGGTTGTACTACTTGAACACTAAAATGTCCCTCAAACAAGGTGACAGCTCCAGCAGTGGCCCACAGCTCAGTTAAGTTTGAGATCCCTGCCTTAGAGAATAAGTATAGCTCGTATTATGGCCGCCACGCAGGTTCATCCGGGTCTCCTAAGGATGACCTTCCTAAGGATAAGTGACCACTGCAGTGCACCCTACTAAAAAGTCAAATGGATTCGTGACAATTGCAGTTACTTTCTCCAACCAGTAGGTGGCAATACGCGCTTTTTTAAAAGCTGGACAGCGACACACTTGTTAAGAGAAGTTCAAATGTGCTGTTGTGTTTTGCGTGACGCCGTGAATCTCAAGTTAAAACCATGGCCAAGGACATGACTCTGCTGTGGGGAAGCGGCTCTCCTCCCTGTTGGAGGGTGCTGATCGCTCTGGAGGAGAAGAGCCTGCAGGGCTACAACCAAAAATTGTTCTCCTTAGAAAAACTGGAGCACAAGTCCAAAGAAGTGTTAGATATAAATCCCAGGGGACAGGTAGGGTGAGCTATTTTGCAAACAAGCCCTTGTTACTAACACAACACTGACGAATATCCTTGAATCTGATCCTTTTGCATAATACATTGCACAATAACCTTGACGACATCACGGTCATTAATTAACATTGAAATATGGGTTGTTGCTCTGGCGGAAAAGATTCCGTTATTCAAGTAGACTTTTATTTATTTATTTTTTAAGACGCTCCAAGAGACGCCTTGCAGCACCTGATTGGACGAGCACTTATCGTGAGCTGACACGTAGTGAATATGGGTGTAGAGATAACTGAGCTCTTGTGTTTGTAGCTGGGTTTCAAACTTTTTCTTTCTTTTTTCTCACACTTGGTTATATAATAATGAATAAGAGCTTGGAGTTGAAGCGCCCTGCCCACAAGTACCATGATGATTTCCAGTACTGCCAAAGAACCAGTTTGAACTTGACGAGCAGCTTTAATCGAATGGCCAGACTGGCCCATTTTTAAAAATGTGTTACTGGGTTTAGTTTGTTTAGGGAACAGCGTTAAATAAAACACAGAAATGTGAGGTTTGGTGTCTGAATATGTGACACGTTGTGTGTAATCTCACTTGTTCTTGTAATTATTATTAAGGATTCCTGTTTGATCCAGCACAGCAGCTTAACTATTGACTCTAACACACTTTTATAACTTGTCATTATTATGATTATTGTTATTCATTTCTTTATTTATTTTTTAGCTTCCCACTTTCAAACATGGAGACAATGTCATCAATGAATCTTACGCAGCCTGTTTTTACCTGGAGGTGAGAACGTCATTTTGACAAAATATTCACTCACACTGAATGCAACATCACAAAATGTGCCCCAGTTCAATGTGTGTCTTTTCCTAATGTCTTGCAGAGCCAGTTTAAATCCCAGGGAACCAAACTGATCCCAGATGGCCCAGCAGAACAAGCTCTGATGTACCAGCGCATGTTTGAGGGTCTCACATTCTACGAGAAACTCAGTAAGTGTTATTATTCCTCTGAGCCTCGTCTCTCAGGAAATTTCAAGGAAAAAAATTAAGTTATTACACAGAAAACTTTTGAATCAACTTATGAAAACGTCCAAAATAATGCCTCTTTGGATAACTTATGTTTTAAAATGGAAAAATTCTCACATCATGTGAACCTGCTAACAGATGAATGTGCCATCTTTTAATGTTTTGTTTTTTAGACGTTGTTATCTACTACACCTTCAACTGGTTTGTCCCTGAAGGTGAGAGACATGAATCGGCTCTGAAGAGAAACAAAGAAGCTCTGGTCACTGAACTCAGACTCTGGGAGAGTTACCTGCAGAAGGTATGTGCATGAACACACAAACTCAGACAGACTCGGCCTGCTTTGATTTGTTCCAACTGTATTTTGTTTTCCCAAGCTGGGCTCAGGCTCATACCTGGCAGGATCATCTTTCACGCTAGCAGACGTGGTCGTTTTTCCAACAGTTGGCACTCTCTTCAGGTTTGGGTAAGCACGCAGAGGCTGTTTGCATTTCCATGTGGTCTCATCAGTAAAATGAAGGATGATCTGTAGACATGGGACTTGACTTAATTCTGATTCGTAGGTTGTCTCCAGAGCGTTATCCTAAACTGGGAGAGTACTACAATCTGCTGAAGGAGAGACCCAGTGTCAAAGCCAGCTGGCCTCCTCATTGGCTGGAAAGCCCCAAGGGGCTAGATACACTGAAAGACATCTGATATTCATCCATAGATGATGCTGCATAATGACAGAGCGGCTCTTGTTTTTTTGCTTGCAGCTTTTGGTAACTCATACGTATTCCGTTTTTTCTGACAGCAGTTTAACTTCACCGCAGAAGTCATGACTTTGCATCTTTTTCTATCCTGTCAATAAAAAACCTTCCAAGAAACAAAAACATTCACTAGTTTTGTGGAGTTATTTCTTTTTTAATAGGATTTTCACATTTAAAACAATGTAACTCTTGTGCTTCCATACAAGTTACCATGTATCTTAAAAAGAAGGAGAGAACAAAAAGCCTAAAAAACAGCACATTATGTCATCAAAAGGTTCAGTGAATCTGGAGAAAGCTCTGTGTGCGAGCACCCAGACCAAAAATCATTATAGGATGTTTTGCCTCAAGCGGCAATGCATTAAAAACTGGGATGATTCTGTCATGGAAATCACTGCGTGGGCCCAGGATCACTTCCAGAATCACTGCTTCTTTTTACACCTCCTGGCTTTATTGTTGCTGCTTTCAGAGAATAGACTGAAGCTTGTTTCTAGTTTTAAAATGCACTGTAACATTGGAAGTAGGAAAGAGTGGCAAAATAAATTATCACCTTAAATAATTTGAATGATTTTTTTCATTAACAGCTGTCGATTTATTGTGAATCTATGAACTTCTATAAATAACTGTAGCGCATATTTGAAGCCGTTTTGGTGTGTCTGCTTCTCTTTTCACATCTGGGGCATCACAGATATAGGAAACTGCTGACTGATCCGTTCTCAGGCATTGCACTCTTACTGTCAGTACTCTTTGTGTAGTGCAAATCTTTCTCTGTTTTTCTGAAATGAACAAAAGTCTTAAGATGCTTATGGAACACAATGTTGAGCCGGACAGCCTGACTTCTTCTGTCAGTTTCTTTCTATTAGCTCCCTGCATTCACCCACGTGCAGCATGTTTACACCTCGAGGTAAACAGCAAGAATTAAAACATGTTGAATATTTTCAGTTCTGAGAAACAAGCACTATGTACCGATGCATGACGGAAGGTCTCACCCTTACGGGAAACACTGTATGCTAGACTTGCACAAATTCAAGCAGAAGCAATGAAGACAGTCACACATTCATGCTGGGAGTTCCTCACACTTAATGTAATATCACAGCAGCTTTTGTTACCCTAATAGACAATCTGTGATCTAACCATGTTCAGGTTACTTCAATATTAACCCACGTAGTTATCCAGTTTCATCCTCCCAGTCACACCACAGTAAAGGAATTCTGCTACGTGACTAGAACTGGCTTTTCCTGTTCAACAGTTGATCAAATCCATTGTGCTACCATTTCTTTAGGCTGATAGTTCAGTAGTGCACCATTTGCATGATTTTGCATTTTAACAAAAGTTAGTCGTATAGTAGCTATCCAGGCTCATCCCCTGAGTCATACAACAGTACAGGAAAACATGAAAATAATACTTTGCAGGAGTGTGTTGGAGGAAATCCACGTGCTTTTGTTGTGGTAGATTATCATCTGGAAGCCACAACAGACCTAGAGTAGTGGAGAGTGATTGCGTTTTTTTCCACTGCCACACTGATTCTGGAACTGCTCAGGTGGACATTTACTCTGAGTTTTGTGAGGAAGCGTCACAGAGAAACTGGGGTTGCTTTTACATAGGTGGCATCAGAGACATGCATTGGACAGTTTCCATGTACATGACATGCTAAGTCATCGTGAGTTTTCAACAGATATTAAGAGATGATCACGTGAGTTGTCAATGTTATCTGCCCCCCCGTATAACCTTTATCAGTTGTAATCATCCAGCGATATCACCAGTGGATGTGCAACGTGGAAACAGCAGGTTACAGCAGGTTGTTAAAATGTAAACCATGATCAAGGACTATTTTGAGAGGTATCAGGAACTGCAAATAAAACAACTCGAGGGCTCTATAAACCTGAAATTAGCCACCAATGTGCACAGTGAAACACTCACTAAACTTTTGTGTTATATTTTACAGGTTTTGTCACTTTAAAAAAATACAGTTTATATAGTCATGTGAAAAAAAACGTCTTCTATGCAGTCCTATGAAAAACTAAGTTCAAACTTTCTGCTTCCATAGAAACTGAGAGGATAAGTCACAGCCAAGTGTTGGTAATTAAATGTTTAATTATATTTTTGAGCACCACTATAAGAAGGAAGGTTTTGGCAGTGTGCTGGTCACACACTGTGTTAACACAACGCCACAATCTTCTTAGCAGTGGACATCCCAGTAATTTCATCCCTAGGTCAGACTGGAAATGCTCAGAGAGACTGCAACAAAACACAAGACTTCGGGAACAGTGTCCTTCAAACAGACAAGACCAAATTGTACAGTTGATGTAATGCACAACGCCACATGTAGCAAAATCCAAATGCAGCATATTAGCACAAATACCTCACACCAGCTGTACAGCTGGGTTGAGGAGGATTTGTTTTGTACCCACAGGACCTCAGCTAGCATGTTAAATGTTGAGTCAACCATGAACTCCTCTGGATCCCAAAGTCATCTGTCCAACAGCTAAAGCTTGGCTGAATCTGGTTCAAGCAACAAGATGACAAGACAGCAAATCTATAACAGAAAAATAAAAAACTTAATGTGTTGCAGAGTCCCAGTCAGAAACTTGGATTCAACCTTGAAATGCTGTCGCAGGCCTTTTAAAACAAAGCTGTCCATGAATGAATGCTTGAAAACCACAATGAACTGAAGCAACGTTGTAAAGAGGGAGCCACAATGTCTCCATGGCGACTCATAATCCACACAGATGTAGTTAATAGTTAATCAGCAGTGCTGTTACTAAGGGGGCTGCTCGTGTTTGATCTGTCTTGTGTTAAGGCACCGATCTTTATACGTAACAATAAAATGGGAAGGGCTGTGGCTTGCTATAAATCTGTCTGTGCTCCTCTAGCTGCTGTCTTCATTTCATCATCCCTCCACAACTTCACTCTCAGTTGTAAGAATTCCCTCTGAAACCATGGCTAAGGCAATGACTCTGCTGTGGGGGGCTGGATCGCCTCCCTGTTGGAGGGTGATGATTGCTCTGGAGGAGAAGAACCTGCAGGGCTACAACCAAAAACTGCTGTCCTTCGATAAAATGGAGCACAAGTCCAAAGAAGTGTTAGATATAAATCCCAGGGGACAGGTAGGGCCTTAAGAAAATTACACCTTAGCTAATGTACCATACAATATTATCATTAAGTCTAATGCTTAAAAACACTTTGCATAATAACCTCAACAACCTCATCCTCATCAACATGATATATGTATTGTTGCTCTACTAGCTAAGTAAAGCTGGTTACACAGCATTATTCAGCCCGCCCCTCTTAGTTTTTTTTAAGTTTTAGAAAGGCAGCTGTGAAAGTTGACCTTTGGCCAATGGTGGGCTGTGTCCCAAGAGCAGCTGTTTCAGTTCAGAGCCCTTCTGTCAACACTGATTTTTGGTATATTACAAAATCTTATCCAATGTAGATCTTAACATACTGGCCTGTTCACCTGATTTCTCCTTGGGCATAACGGATTAAAAGTTGCTCAGCACACGCGGGTTAGCATCAAGAACCTGGAGTGTAGTTAAAGCTGTCGAAATCACGAGAATTTTCGTTTTTTACAACAGGGTCAAATACTTTGTGAAGCTAAAGGTTAGCAAGACGTTATTAGCATGACAGTACTGTATATTGACCTGTTCTGCAGATTGGAGGGGTGACACGCCTGCTACAGCTTTAGCAGCTAACTTAGGCAAAAACAAACTACAATATGTTATATGTTGCACTTTGTGATGCACTACAACATGTAATCATAGCAATCTGCTACTGGCAGCTCTCAGTGCAATTAACATAGCAAACTTCGGGTATCCAAGTGATTCAAATGGCAGCTTTGATAGTTTGTCTTGCTCACGTTATAATTTTTTTTCCACAGCTTCCAACATTCAAACACGGAAACACTATTGTGAACGACTCCTATGCAGTCTGTTTTTACCTGGAGGTGAGGATGCTAATTCATTAAGAATTATACTGACCCTAAAACTAAATTCAACATCACAAACAGTAACAAGCTCATATGTGTGCGCGTTTTTTTCTTTCCTCAATGGCAGAGCCAGTTTAAGTCCCAAGGAAACAAACTGATCCCGGACAGCCAAGAAGAACAAGCTCTGATGTACCAACGCATGTTTGAGGGTCTCACATTCTACGACAAACTCAGTAAGACGAAAACTTTGCCTGACACAGTTTTACAGTTGACTTAGCAGTAGCAGCTTGAGGAGATATGGGTGAACTTTGAGGAAGCAGTCTCTTCCCTTCAGAGCCTGCCAAACTTACTAGACTGGTGTTCCATCATGTTAGATGATGATGGAGATAAGTAACTGAAATAAGTCCAGACCCAAAACAAAACATTTTAGACAGTTTATGAGCAGTGGATTTTGTATGTATTTGAAAGTCATTTATATCCTAGCTCTTACAGGTTTATGAATGTGTTTTATGATTGCAGCTCAGACAGATACAAAGGTCGCAGTCCACTTAAAAATCTTAAACATTAGCAATAAAATCTTAACGTCAATTCCAAAATGGACAGGGAACCAATGAAGGGACGTGTTCATGATTTCCAATACCAGTGAAAAGATGAACTGCTGTATTCTTGACTTACAGCAGGTGGCACAGAGATAGTTATTCTGTACCAAAGTAGAAAGTCGTCCAGGTGGGAAGTGATAAAAGGGTTTTTCCAGGTCCTTTTGAGGAAGTCCGGACTTTAGCTTGGCAATGACTCTGAGTTGATAAAAGAAATGGTACAATAGTAAATGGAGTGTTGCTTATATAACACTAACAAAGCACAGAGAGTGCTTTTTACTACAAGCCTCATTCATCACCCAGTCACACAAAAGCACTTTTTTCCTGTACCTAAATGCTTTTGTGCGCACATACAGATGCATCAGGTGGTCATCATCAGGATTTTGCTCGAGAAAACTGGAGTCTGGAGTAGTCAGGGGATAAAATTCAGTGACCTTCCAGTTGGTAGATGACTTGCTCTATCTCCTCAGCTACAGCTGCCCAATAAAATCAACATCAATATTGTAAAGAACAGTGAACTCAAAATCACAGTGTGGGCTCTTGGAGAGTGGGTAGTCTTTTACCAAAAATAGTGCTTGATAAAAATAGTGCTGCGATGCCTTTACAGTGAAAAATGTTTTAAGCATCATGTGAGTGAGTTTTGCTTATTTTCAGATGCGGTTATCTACTACGACTGGTTTGTTCCTGAAGGTGAGAGACATGAATCGGCTCTGAATAGAAACAAAGAGGCTCTGACCACTGAACTCAAACTCTGGGAGGGTTACCTGCAGAAGGTATGTGAAGGCACACACACAAACAAACACATGCACACACACACAAACACACGCACACACAGAAACACAAGCTGACATCGCCTGCTTTGGTTTATTCAAACTGTGCTGTAATTTGCATTTCTTTTATCCAAGCTGGGCTCAGGCTCTCATGTGGCAGGACCGTCCTTCACACTGGCAGATGTGGTCATTTTTCCTACAGTTGCTTATCTTTTCAGATTTGGGTAAGAGTGGCAGAGAAGGAAATAGAAATGACAGCTGCTTCTCCTTCATGTTTCATCAGTATAATAAGTGATGATCTGTAGTCACTGAACTTTATATTCTATATTCTACCTTCTGCTCTGATCTGTAGGCTGTCTGCAAAGCGTTATCCTAAACTGGGAGAGTATTACAATCTGCTGAAGGATAGACCCAGTGTCAAAGCCAGCTGGCCTCCTCATTGGCTGGAGAACCCTGAGGGACAAGACACACTGAAAGACATCTGACATTCATGCAGACGTGAATGAATGTCACATAATAATATTGCAGCTTTTGTTTGTGTGTATATCGAACAACAGTTTCTGTTGACTGATACAAGTTCAGGTTCCATTAACAGCAGTTTTTTTTTGTTGTTTGTTTGTTTTTAATATGAGATGTCATGTAGCATCAACCAACAGTCAAAAAAATTAAATCTACACTTTTTTTCAACCTTTAATAAATTTATATCAGTGAACTAGAGTCAGAACATTTTTTGCTAAAGAAGAAAAGGACTAAGAACTAGCTTTCTGTACACAAAGGGAACTCCAATGCCTCATGCTTCAATTGGATATCATTTGCATGATTTTACATTGCTACGTTAAATTCACAGCCTCATTTATACCCCCTGAGTGTACTGTATTTTGGCCATTGTCACTTCAGTTAAAAATAAACTTGTATCAATCAGCATTGTTGACGTATTTCATTACGCTTGTTAACATGAACTCAGATCCTGCACATCTAGGCACCACTAAAACCCTTTTACGTGAGGTTTTTTTTTGCAAAGCATGATCAGAAGCTGAGTGAGGTAATTTCAGGATGAACCCAGCCTTTTTAGTTTTATAAAGTTGGTCAACTTCTTACCAGGGAACTTGTATGAGAGGGACACAGTTAATGTCAGCTCACACAGGTTTTATTTCTCTTTGCTTTGCAGCATTTTGTTTGCTTTTTTGTCGCACACCAACGTCATTTCACTCATTCTGACATCAGCAGTTTTGTTTTTCGCCTGGTGTCACGCATAATAAAGTCTGTATACGATAGCCTTCCAGTCATAACCACGGCATTTTCAAGTCTCCACACATTCATGCAGCATGTTTTAATACTATACTGTACAATGCTACACTAGTGCTTTTCCTATCACACCCAGCAGCAGCAGCAGCAGCTGTGTTGCTTATAGCCTTTATTGTTCATTTAATCTCTTAATATTTTTTGATTTTCTTTGTAAAAAACAAAACAAAAAAAACCTCCCGTCTTCCTGTAGGAAGCAGTTTGTGACTGGTTATATGCTGCCAGCTCTGCCCCTTTCATGTGAACGTGCTGGAAAAAGCCTGGGCTGGATTACCAAGCTGGTAAACACTGCGTGTGACCGCTTATCCTGAATGCAGTTGTTATGGTTAAATGAAGCCAGATAAGGCCCAAGATATCACTACTATGCTAAACATGTTTCATAGTACGTGCCTCTGCTGTACCTGTTGAATTGAGTTGAGTCAGGTACTCAGTTTTTGGTTTTGTACTTGCTTGGAAAGGTTAAAGTAACTATCATGGAGCTGCACAAACCTGCCCGACAGCCTCTGCCGAGTAGGAGAGCGCATACACAGGAATTTGAAATGTTCAGATGTACAGTCGATCAGAAAATACTTCCACCTAGTGACTTTGCCCTCTCTTTAGCCTCTCAGTTAACCTTTATTCATATAAGGTGGTACACTAAGGAGTTACTCTATTTTCAATGGGAGCCTCGTGTGACAAAGAAAACAAAAGAACGGATATCAAATTCCACTAATGGTCAAGTAATGCGTGTGGCATGCAACCAGGTTGCCAGGTTATCAGTGAACCTGATAAAAACATCAGAAACAAACTGTTGCTGTAGTCAGCAAAAAATGCTTACATCATGCCAACTAAGCAAAATGAAAACACTGAAAGTAATGCACAAACACAATATATGTGTGTGTATGTATCAGTCAAAGGCAAGAAGAAAAACGTGCTTCTTATTCTGACATGTATGGGGAAATCTTGCAGAAGTTTATCCCACAGCGAGCTCTTTGAAAAACAGCCCAAGATAACAGAGACAGCGATCGCAGCAAACATGCAGTTCTCTTCACCGCTGTTCATGCAGAAGTCCATGCTGCCAAGTGCACACTAACACGAGAAAGAAGCACAAAAGAAGAAAATAAAAACAGAAGCAGGGATTTGGTGAAGCTAGAAATGTGGATGTCAAATGAAAGAATGCATTAAAATCAGGAGTATCAGACAGAGAGATGTGAAAACTGTGCCAGTGTTGCGTAAGTGCCTGCGTGTGAAGTTGTAAATACACGACTGCTGAGTCACTGTGAGTTTCAAAATATCAGCAACAACACTGCAAGAATCTATAAAGCACGGACAAGGATGATAACAGTTTTTAACATACGTATAACAGATGGATGTCAACTACAGCTGTGATTGTTGATAATATATTGTAATAATAAAGCCCACAGGAATAAAGTTGGGTTCTGATAAACCCCACAGAGACTTTCACTTTCACTTTAGTTTCTACACCTGATTTTAACGTTATACACATTATTATTCACTGAAATTCAGAATATTGGTGCGGTTTTGCAATAGCTGTGAATACAACAATCTTTATCAAACAAAATGTTTCAAACTGTGCTGCTACAAAAATGTTCCGACAGCAGCATGTCAGGTAAAATGCAGGTGCGTGATCTCGCTCAAAAAATAATTCACACCCCGCTATCTGTGAGAAATCTCTTGTCAGAGCATCAAAATGGGACGGGACTTAAAGCCACCAATCCGGATGTTGAGGGCTGGAGTTTTGCTATATAATGAGGCTCTTTACCTGCTCTAGCTTCAGTCTTCTCATCTTTAACCTCCCTTTAACTTCAGCTCCCAGGTTAACCTCTGAAACCATGGCCAAGGACATGACTCTGTGGTGGGGCTCCGGCTCTCCCCCCTGCTGGAGGGTGCTGATTGCTCTGGAGGAGAAGAACCTGCAGGGATACAACCAAAAACTGCTCTCCTTCGAGAAAGGAGAGCACAAGTCGAAGGAAGTCATGGATGTAAACCCCAGGGGACAGGTAGGCTTGCATCACATTCATACCTTCAAACTGCATTCAAACCCCCACCTCCTGAAGTACTTTATATTCACTGTGCAATTACAAATAATAATGCCTAATTTTGAAGTATATATTAATAACGTTCATTCTACTTTATCTTAAAGCTTCCTGCCTTCAAATTTGGGGACATAGTGATCAATGAGTCGTACGGTGCATGCTTCTTCCTGGAGGTGAGAACCTTACTTAAAATTTCATGTCACTGAGGAGTTGTTAAGTTGGAGGGCGACTGGTGATTGCATGCTCAGCAATGCTTTGTATAAGCAGACACTCTACACCACAGGGTGCACTGCACCTCAGAACAGTTGCTCGTTTCATGTGTTTCCGTGTGCTTTCATGTGTTGTTTTCAGTCCAAGTTCAAGTCCCAGGGAACCAAGCTGATTCCTGACTGCGCCGGCTCCGACAACAATTGCGCTTTGATAGCTTTAATAATGCAGCGTGTGTTTGAGGGCAACACACTTCACCAGAAAATGGGTACGTTAACTCTGTCATGGCCTTCTCAACATACCTGTTGAGCTCGATATCCCTGTATGCTGATGTGGACACTGAAACCAGGGGATTTACAGAGTTTATAAAGAAAATCTTATAAAGTTCTTTCTGTATAACTTAGCTGTTGTTGTTGCCATTCAGAGATTTGCCTTTTGGGATTTTAAACAATGCTTGGCAACATCACGCACAAACCTGCAACCTTTAACCCGCTGAGACTTCATGTCTTCAGCAAACCTCCTCAGAGGTTTTGACATCAACTTTCACCGACGTGGTCCGAGGTGTTCAAAACACATGCAACACACAAAAGAGCTGTGCCTTCACTTAAGAGTGTTACATAATGCATTATTTCTCTGGGGAGTAACCCTCACAACATGCTGGGATGTTAATCTCTGCTCAAATTAGCCTTGCAAGTAAATTCCTGAGACAGTGTAGAAATGACACCAGAAAATCCCATGTAACCAAAATGAACATTTGCTTAACATGATCACTCATTTTTAAATAAGCTGCTATAGATGTTATTTGGGTACCTTTTTATAGTCTTCAGCCTGATGTTAGACAATAATTGTCTGTTCTGATATTTTGCAGTGGATGTTTTTATGTACAACCGGAGGGTCCCGGAGAATGAGAGGCACGAATCTGCCTTTAAGAGACTCAAGGAGACGCTGACTACTGAGCTGCAGATGTGGGAGGGACACCTGAAGAAGGTATAACGCGCATGCACTCACAAGCACCCAGAGCACGACAGCTACAAAGCTGCAGAAACAGGCAATAACCCTAGCAGGAAGTTATAAGCTGTTGGATGTAATGGATGCTACCGTGTAAAAGCACTTTGTCTTTTCTTTTCTTTTTATCCCCTCGGTATTTTGACTCATTATAATGATTTAAAGGGGAAAAAAATGTCCAAAACATCTGTTCACAGAGATATCAATTGATGTTGAACATTTGATGTTTACGTTCCTGAAAACACCAACTCACAGTACAAGATTGTGCAGGAAGTCAGTGTAATGTTTATTTAACTAAGCAAGTCATTGGCAAAACCTTCCTATTTACAATAGTGGCCAGACAGCCTCAAGAGGAAATAGAGGCAAGTCAAAAAAACAAGTACCGAATGTTGACAGTTGGCCGATGCACAGTACTTGGATGATGACGAGCTGATTGTCTGAAGTCTTTTGTTGAGATATGCTCAGCAGCTGCTGTTAAGGAGACAATATATGTAGAAGAATTAGTAAGCCAAGTTTCACCAACTATTTAAAAGATTTTTTTAGCTTCCATCCAAAATCTTTTTTTCTTTGTCTTCTTTTTTTAAGACACCAGGCGGTTTCCTGGCAGGAGAGAACTTCTCCATGGCTGATGTGATTGTTTTTCCAAGTGTTGCTCTTCTCTTACGCATGGGGTAAGTAAGCTAAATTTGCAAAACTGACTTGTAGCTGCCTGGATTGAATAACAAACAGCAACAAACTCACACCAACTTTCGTCTTTCTTGCAGGCTAAGCGAGGATAAATACCCCAAACTGGCAGAATACTACAAAAAGCTGCAGGGCAGACCAAGCGTCAAAGCCACCTGGCCTCCTACTTGGAAGGAGACCCCAGGACAGGAACTTTTAAAAGATATCTGAGACTGAGAAACCCATCAGCTGCCGAGCACATTTTTCCTGTTGCATTTTTAATTTGTTACCCTGTGCTGCTCTGCAGTGGATATTTGAACATTTGTTACTGAACATGCCATCTTATTTCTGTCGTGCTGTGAGTAAAAGCAATAAAAACTAAGTTTTATTTTTGTTTGCTTCATTATTTTCAAGTTAAATTTCCACCAATAAAATTTGACCTTTGGCGTCACCACTCACATTAGTGCTGCGTAGTCTTGACAGGAGAGATCACCAAACAGAAACTTTAAATTAAACTTTTTGCTTTGTTTTCTCTGAAAACATCGCACAATCATGTTTACGAAAACATTTCTATAATTATGCTGCCGTGTCACAATCAGAGCAGTGGCAAAGCCATCAGATTTTTCGTTGGGGTGGCCAGGCCTTTGCTTACTTTGCAGTGGTGCAGAAACTGCTTTTGCATTCATTTTGCAGTAGAAGTCATAGTAATTTCTTTTCTCACCCACTCTTTTGATATGAATGCATATTAATGCCTACATTATAGGCATTTATGTGCAATAACACTATTATGCCTTCAGCTGATCAAAAAAAATCAATAAAACCCTCTAGTGATTGTTGAAGTTATTGTTACTAAAGCTACGATAATTTTAGTGGTGTTGTGCTGCTAAAATATAAACAGGCTTGCTTCAGCAGAAAAGCTTGAATAGCCTAACTTTATAGTAAAATTCCTTTTTATAGCATTTACAAGCTTAAACAAATAAAGCGCAATGAAAGGTCATCATATCAAAAGAGTCCTTTATCTATTGGGTGTGGTGCAACCACTTTTCTCTGCACAAAGGTAACTCAAATGGCCTGTGACAGCATGAGGTTGCATACATGAGGCACATTGCATTAATCCTTTTTATGTCATTTGTGAATTTCCACTGCTGTTAAATGCACATTCTCCTTATTAAGGATCAGTGAAAGCTCAGTTTGAAAATGCATTTGCAATATTATTTGGATGAGGTGTCCAAATCTGTCCACCAAGTTTGCTGTGATCACAGTTTAAAACCTCATAGGCCCATTTGGTTGTCTTTCGGTCGGGTGTGTTTTTTGGCTCAGCTGTTTGAAGAGGGAGAGAGCAGGTGATTCAGGCTGCAAGGCTATGGGATAGAGGCTGTGTGAGACACCTGTTACACATTGTCTAACCTGCCTCCATTATTTATTCAGTAGCACACCAGACGGAAGCGGGCTTACAATGAGAAGGAGAGCTGGCAGCAGTTTAAAACAGGCTGAATGGAGTATGGAGGTGACCAACAGGAACAAGGAGAGTACAAAGACCAAAAAGCACAATTGTTTCTGAGTGTGTGTGTTGGGAACCCACAACAATTCTGACTTGTTTGAAACATTGCTGCATGGTCCGTCTGAATATACGCTTGCTCAAAAAAGGAGTGTGTCATGCTACGTCTGCAAAATGAAAATACTGAATTAATGGAAACACAGGAAAGCACATTTTCAAATTAAATTCTCGGCATATGCCTTTTCTTTCCTTTTAGGTGTAGAGAAATCCCGATGCAGCCTATTACTGTTGAAACTTGCATGTAATAATATTGCAGGGCTGCAGCTGTGTGTGTGTGTGTTACTTGGACAAAGGGACTTCAGTAAAAACCACGAGTTTTGCCTTTCCTCTAGCAATCATTCACTCAGGAAACAGTCCACTGAAACGGACCCAGAAGAGCAGCGATAGTGATCGCAGCAAATGTGTCCACTGTAGCTTATTTCACTGCTATGTGACATTGGCAATTGTTCAAGTGCACTTTGACAAGAATTCAAAGGCTTACAGAATGAAGCACAAAGCAACTAGTATTATATTGTGTATATTTTAGTGCTAGATGAAATTTGTCTTTCAAGTACAAAGATACATAAAATAGTTGATATTAGACACGTTCAGAACTAATGCGATTGATGGACGTGAGAGACGTGCCAGAATCGTGTGTGCATTGTGTGCATGTGTGTACAGGGGGTGAAAACAAAGTGCTAAGTCACCGTGAGTTTCAACAAATCAACAGCATTACTTGTAAGAATATATGAATGCATGAAGAACGATCTTTAAGGGTTTAACATATGCACATTAGATGGATACCAAGGTTGTGACTGTTGACATGCAACCGTATTAATGAAGCACACACAAGTAACGTGCAGGAATGATGACATCCGAACGAACTGCACGGGAGCACGGCAGCAAAGCGCCCAGTGTCACTTTACTCTGTGCACTTGATTTGATCTGAAGGTGAATTGTTTTGTTTGCATTTCCAAACGCTTTTCAACATAAAAATGACAGTTTTGCACACCTGTGAATACGAGCAGCTTTAGATTAAATCACAGTCAATAAATGTAACTGTGCTGCTGCAGAAATCTCTGACTTTCATTATCATGTCATATAAACTGTGGGGTTGTGATGTAAGAGGGTAAGAGATCTCTTGTCAGAAGACCAAAATGGGACGGTACCTAAATCCACCAATCCGGATGTGGAGGGCTGGAGTTTTGCTATAAAACGAGACTGTTTCAGTCGTTGTGGCTTCAGTCTTCTTATCTCTAACCTTCAGTAATTCCAGCTGCCATACTAAGCTGTTCACTCTGAAACCATGGCCAAGGACATGACTCTCTGGTGGGGCTCCGGCTCTCCTCCCTGCTGGCGGGTAATGATCGCTCTGGAGGAGAAGAAACTGCAGGGATACAACCAAAAACTGCTCTCCTTCGAGAAAGGAGAGCACAAGTCAAAGGAAGTCATGGATGTAAACCCCAGGGGACAGGTAGGCTTGCATCACAGGTTTCAATCTGGACTTTGAATGCTTGAACTTGAACCTATTCATATTTTTTCCACTTTGTCTTAAAGCTTCCTGCCTTCAAATGTGGGGACAAAATCATCAACGAGTCCTACGGTGCATGCTTCTTCCTGGAGGTGAGAACTCGAGCAAGGTACTGCCTTGTTGTCAAGGAGATAGGTTGTTGGAGGTCAAGTTGAGGGATTACTAGGTTTACCATGATTGTTTGGACATGCACCCTACACTGCAGAGTAAAAGAAACCAGAGCTTTTTGCTGCTCTTTATAACACTTACTGTTTTCCTGTCTCGACCAACAGTGTGAGTACATGTCCCAGGGAACCAAACTGATCCCTGTGAACTCCAGCGAGAAAGCCCTGGTGCTCCAGCGTACCTTTGAGGGTAACACGCTTCACCAGAAAATGGGTATGTTAGCTTAAATCTTCTCTCTGGTTTTGAACCACAAAGATATAACTGTTGAGTTCCTGCACTTTCACGTCCGATCCCCCAAATTACATTTAGTGAGGTTTTAGTGGGACATGCTCACTCTCTACATGACTTATCTGTTGTTGTTGCCATTAAAAGATCTGCCTTTTGGGATTTTGAGTCAATGATTGGCAACATCACGCACGAACCTGTCACCTTTAAACCACTGATACTTCATGCGTTCAGCAAACCTCCTCAGAGTTGGTTCACCTGCTCTTCCCGAGGTCAGCGTTGTTCAAAAAACATGCCACCCAAAATAAGTTGTGTGTTCACATAATTAGGCTCTGGCATAATGCACTATTTCCTTGGGAGTAACCCTCACAACAGGATGTTAATCTCCGTTTATCAAAGCAAGCATTTACAGCCTACAGCCTGATGTTACACAGCAATGCACAGACATACCAAAAATACAAAATATGGAAGTGGATGCTGTGCAGTGTGTGGAAACTTTCTTTTTTCTCAAAGCTTTAAATCCTCAGACAGTGGATATATTCATGAAATGTCTGTTCTGATATTTTGCAGCGGATGTTTTTATGTACAACCGGAGGGTCCCGGAGAATGAGAGGCAGGAATCTGCCTTTAAGAGACTCAAGGAGACGCTGACTGGCGAGGTGCAGATGTGGGAGGGACACCTGCAGAAGGTATGTGAATGACCTGCACGCACTTTCACTCTACTGCTACAAGCATCCAGTGCACAAAACTTATACCTACATAGCTTTGTTGCTCTGGCTTTGTGCTCCAACTGCTTTGTAGTGGGAGAAACAGTCTGGGAATTTTTTTCTGAGGAAAGTTTATGTTTTGACACAAACATAATCTTTGCAGGAGGAGGTAAAATCACGTACTTTACACCCAAACAGCCTATTGCACTGTGTTACAGAGATGCAACTCTTTTCTTTAACCAGGCAAGTCACAGGAAAAACCTTCCTACAATCTGGCAGATTCTAAAGCCTCTTAAGAAAACTGGGTTAAGGTTAGAAAAACACCAAAAGTTAAAAAACAAAGCAGCAGGACATGTTTGGATGATATTTGGACAAAGCCAGGCAGACTATCTGTACCAAATTTAAACAGTCAATATATACGCTAACACTGTTTGTGTAAAAATCTTACCTAAAAATTTTACTTATCTTTAAATGTAAAGACACACTGTGGAATATTTAGAATCTGAGTTCTGCACTGTTTTCCCCTCACAGCGCTTTATTTTTTTTCTCTTAGACACCAGGTGGTTTCCTGGCGGGAAAGAGCTTTTCAATGGCTGATGTGATTGTTTATCCAAGCGTTGCTCTTCTCTTCCGCATGGGGTAAGTAAGCTATTTTACTAAGGCTGACGTTTAGCTGCTTGGCAAGATGAATGAATGCAATAATAAACAGCAGTGAACTCACCCTGATTTTGATCTCTCCTGCAGGCTAAGTGAGAAACGTTACCCCAAACTGTCAGAATACCATAAAAATCTGAAGGACAGACCCAGCATCAAAGCCACCTGGCCTCCACTTTGGAAGGACACCCCTGGACAGGACTTTTTGAAAGACATCTGAGATTGAGAGGCTCATCAGCTGACAAGCCAATCTTTTCTTGTTGTGTTTTTAATTTGTTACTATTCCTCGTATTTCAGTACAATATGATGAATATTTTTTTTAACATATACTTTTCAAAGACCTTTTTATATGTCCACTTAGGTGGACAACTGATGTGTATGGAGTGACACATCAGTGTCCAATGTAGTGGTTTATTTGCAAGTATACCATTAACACTGACACAAATACAAAAAAAAGCCTTTGAATTGCTGTCCACTGCAGTGACCACTATGTGTGAAAGGGTTAAATCCATCCTGCAGCTGTGCAGTTTTGACAGGAAAGGTCACTAAATCAAAACTTTAACGCTTTACTTGATTGTTGTCATTCTTCTCTTTGAAACTGAGCTTTCCTATCTAGGTAGCAACACTTGAGCAATCACTGTATGGATTTGTAAAGACATCAAAGTAACATTAAATGAAACACTGATCTGTTCTACAAAATCCAGGGGACAAAAAACAAACAAACAAAAATGTTGTGCTTCAAAAAAACAACCTGCTACCCACAGTCCAACTTACAAATTATAAAGATGTTCTACAAACACTAGAATTATATTCAGCATCACAAACAAGTGTGTGTGTGTGTGTGTTTATTTCTTTTTAATTCTTAATGGGATAGCTAGTTTAAGTCCCAGGAGAACAAATGTATCACAGGATTTGAAAGAGAAATGAAAAAGAAGCAGAGATTAAAACATAACATAGGAAACACAAACAAAGCATAGAGAGACAGAAAAAACAGAGACTACAGAAGGGAAGACAAAATGTATTCACAGAATTTTTTAGTTCCCAGTTGGAATTTTTATCTGGAACACCCTCTTAACCTGGATTTTCCATTTGGAAAGTTTGAGCAACTCCTCCACCAGGAGGTTAACAATCTATAATGCTGGCAGTGAATGTAAACAGCAGTAAAACTATAACTTGCTGAATAACCATATGCCGAGTCCACAGACGTGCTGCAGCGAAGCACAAACAACAAATGTTATGCTGTATTGCTTGTGATACCCAAATAGCTCTACCTGCCAAAGAAGCAAAAATAAATCCTGTTTTTCCTTCTTTTTCCAACTTTCCTACTGCAACCCACTAATGCATATACCTGACATCACTCCAGAGTTTCAACATCTGACTTCTGAAGTAATATAAATTTAGAGAGTTGAAAATAGCCATCTGTTAAAATATAATATTGAAAATAAAAAGAGAAAGAGAGTCAAGCCTAAAGGTTTTTTTTGTTACATTTGTATTTGGTAACCTGTCATTTAAACATTATTGTTGGATTATGGCAGTTTTAGGTATTAAAATGCTATTGAACTTTCGGGCGCCAGAGGGTGCATAGTGCGCTGTTGGTATCGAGTAGTGTTTTGGGGCACAGAGGAAGAGTAAAACTTCCTGTTATGAAGCTCAACTTGTGTACTGTTTCTACTCTTTATCACAGCATTATACGTTGCTGGCAAAGGAAACCAGTTGCCCCTCTGACCACCAACTTAGGGAGACAACAAATTTGGGCGCTTGTCCGGTATTAGTGCCGTGGTAGTCGGGTGCTGATCAACTAAGAACCGTGGGATTCATGTCCCTATGCTTAACAGCACTACTATCCAGAGCGACAGACTTCAGCTATCCAGGCATGGCCACTTGGCACGACCTACAATGGGAGATCCAGCAACAGCTTAATCAGCTGACCAGTGGCTCCAACTCGGAATTGCTCCATAAACTTGCAATATCATGTCAAGAAGAAGAGGTGGAAAATCTTCCTCGTGATGACATACTGTATGTTCCATTATTTGAGGTAATGGATGTTATTTGACTGGAGGCATAACTCACAGACACACAAGATGCGCCATTACTCCAATGAGTGTCCTTTATTATTTTTCATCCCCCCCCCACAACAACCCAGCAGAAACGTTCCTACCTCTTAACATTTACCTGATACTACATCCCCCCTACTAAATAGGATGTGATGCTGGGATATAACCAAGAAAACAGATTAGACCCACACGCTTTAAAGTATACTATTTCCTTGTGCTTTATCTGGTAACAGCCTGTTTACTGAACTCGTTTGGTTTAAACCCAGACTACTCAGAATGTCCAATAATAAACTCTCAAAGTATACAACTCTGAACACTAAGCATAAGTGCACATTTCTGAACTATCTGGTGCAGCTACAAACAACATGTTTAAACAGTGCAACCATTTGCTTTATTTCTCATTGTCTCTATGAGGGATGGACTACCCAACCCTCTACCTGAGTGTGGGGATTATTCTGCCCCATTGCTCACTCAGTTCCTAGCCCTATGAGCAAACATAGTCTTTTAGATATGCTGGAGGCCTCCTAGACCTGGGTGGGATTTGGCTCCCAGCTTCAGGAGTCTGCTGGCTGGCCTCCTGTGAGATAGTGTCTGGAAACGACACACTCTGTGCAACTGGAACAGAGTTCTCAGGTGAAGCCTCTGGTGGATCGCCAGAAATCTCTGGTGCCCCAGGTCTCGACCATGTAGGACCTCGGTGAGCCTGCCATGGACACAACTGTCCCTCTAGTATCCATGTCTGAGACCCACACTTTGTCTCCAGGATTGAGCTGTAGCATATCATGTACTCTGTGTCTGCAGTTGAAGTTTTGTCTTTGTTTTTGTCTGTACGTTTGTTCTATGACAGGAATAGTTGTCCTTATCCTTCTACCCATGAGAAGCTCAGTCGGGCTGTAGCCATTTGCCAATGGAGTAACCCGGTATGCCATAAGGGCGAGATAGGGATTGCCAGACTTTTTAAGAAGACTTTTGATGGTCCTGACTGCCCTCTCGGCCTCCCCGTTGCTCTGAGGGAAGTGGGGACTGGATGTCTCATGGCTAAAACCCCATTCTTGTGCAAATCTTTTGAAGGAATCAGATGAAAACTGAAGTCCATTATCAGAGCGAACCTGCTCTGGTATGCCATGACGTGAAAAGATTGATTTACAGTGCTCGATCACTGCCTCTGATGTTGTAGATGTCAGTTTGGCAACTTCGAAGAATCTGGAAAAGTAATCCACAATGACCAGGTACTGTTTATTCTCTATCTGGAACATATCAGTTCCAACCATGGCCCACGGTCTTTGTGGGAACTCCGTAGGTAGCATGATTTCTTTGTGGTTAGTCCGCTCACGGCAGCAAGTGTCACAGGTCTCAATCACTTTTATCAGCTCACTGCTCAGGCCTGGCCACCAAACAGATTGTTTAGCTCTCTCTCTGCATTTCGCTATTCCTAGTTGTCCCTCATGTAGTTTAGACAGAATGTCTGCTCTGAGTGATGTGGGAATCACTATTCTGCTCCCATAATGAAGCAAACCATGAACCAACCGCTGAAAAGCTTGGGGAATTCTTGTTTGACAGCATCAATAGAGTCTAAGCTAATATGATTCACTCTAGCAACCAGCTGTAGTGCCACTGCAGCATGCCCGCTCAGCAGCATTGTGCATAAACCCTGTACGACATAAATGTCTTCTTTGGTTTTGAGGTTGTTCTTGCTGAGAGTGGCTGTGAACATGCCTTTTACCTTCAGACGTGTTCCTCCTGGGCCCTGCAGAACCCTTTTGGGCTTATCCAATCTCCTCAACTGATGCTGTGTGTAGAAAGTCTGTGGGACTGCTGTGACATCTGCTCTGGTGTCGATTTTAAAGAGTGTGTTGCATTTGTCCACATGTATCTCTGTTACCCATGGACTCTCTTTGGTGTCCACAGAGAGGGAACCCAAGAAAGTGACCTCATCATCTGTATCGCTGTTCTCTGAAACTGTTGCAGCATTGACTTCACACAGTTTTTTGTTTCTGCACATCCTGGCAACATTTTTTTTCTTACAGTAACTACATGCGGCTTCCCTCGCGGGGCATTGTTGAAGATTGTGACCTTTTATGTCTCCATACGCGAAAAGTGAGCGCGAGAGCATTTCATTCATAATGATGTAAATCCAAGCCCATTATGTATTCCTGATCTGAATCCTGGGTTGTGTGAAATCCCAGAAATACACGTTAGACAAAGTGAATCTGTGAACTAAGGTGTAGGTCTATTAGGTTATATTGTGGTGATCCTCGAGTTGGGGGATTTGTGTTCATACTGGAGTGCAAAATGAACACCATGGGGTGCCAAACAGGCTAGGACCGCCACTGCGTGCCACTATCGCAGAAAGAGCTGAGGAGAGTCCCAGATGAGGGCTCACTCAGCAGCTGCGGAGTAGAAGCCAGGGGGAGTTGCAGTGATGTGCCCGTGAGCTCCGCCGGCAGCCAGCTGTGCC